AGTGCGTCAGACGCCAATTGGAGAAATTAAAATGATGTCTTGAGGAAAACGAGTAGTGGATCCCTCAGAATAAAGGCTTGTTTACTTAAAGGTTTGTTTATCCAAATAAACCACTTGTTTGCCTAGAAATCTTTTAGCAAAAGAGCTAGAGTTGGTATTTATGGAGGGTTGCGCAATAGCTCTTTATGATAGGATTCGGGTGCTTTGGATATGCTTGAATAATCTCGAGATGTGCTTACATCTTTTTAAAGTAGAGGAACCACTTTCTTGTACCTTTCTTTCATTGCAGATTCCATGGAAATGTCTGTTACTCATTGGCCTGTTTGTTTGTTTGTTTGGGGGAATGTTTTTTTTATGTTGGGAGCTACTAAGGCCAGTTAAATATGGAGGGGGATCCAAATAGCTATTTTACTGCAGGGGCAGCATTTCTTACGTGAACAATTCCTATCCTTTGATTGGAATAATAATCTATCATATCAAATACGCAAATGGGAAGGAGAGAACACAGGGCGGCTTGACACGTCTGCTCTTTGTTTCTTTGTCCTCATTCTGGAGTTTGTGTTTTTGATTCTTTTTTCATTGGTAGACGGCACAGTTTCCAGTGGCCTTTTCAGGTTTCTTTTGTAGAAGGCTTGCAAATCTGACCGTGTTAATGGTTGCTTTCAAACACTAGGACAACTTGGCAGGATTTTGCCCTTTTGTCTGTTCTGCTGATCATTTCAGTTGGAATTGGAGTGTGAGTTGATGGAAAGAAGTTTCCAGCTCATTTTTCAAATTAGGAACATGAGACCACCGTGTGCGGGTAAATGTTTAAAAACCAGCTCTCTGGGGGTGGGAGTCTTCGCTGATTTCTGTGGTGTAAATACTCCCACCAGGGCTGATTTAAAGGTACCAACAAGATGTTCCCTGAATGCAAAGTTGGAAAGAAATGCACAGTAGCTGACCATTATGGAATCTGTCCACCACATACAAAAACCATAACCCTGGAGTCATGGTAAAATGTAGTAAATAGTTATAAAGTGATGAGTTTTGAGCATTTATTACTTATGTTTTTAAAGAAAACTTATTAAATGGTTAATTTTTAACAATGGCTTTGTTGAAAAACAAGCTCTCAAAGCTCCTGGAAAGATAACCACTGGTTTTAACACATCAGCTGGGACCCAGAGAAGTCACTGTCTCACTGAAGTGCCAATGAATGAATGAGTTGGCAGAACTGTTTCTAAAAACCAAATTTCTCTAAGAAGATTGACTTATTAATATTTCTGCTTATTCATTTGTCATTTTTTATTGCATGCTCTAATGATCTGTGAAAGGGGTTTAGGACTGTTACATACAGGCTGTTAATTATCTATTGAGACAATAACAGAATATCTGAATATAATTGTAATCAAGAATAAAAGTGTGGAAAGCAGATTCAGTGTGGAGCCATAAATAAATCCTGGCTTTGAGTCTTGGGCCTACTACTCACCAGTGGTGTAAACTTATGTCACTTACATACTTCTCTGGCTCCAGTTTTAGTCTCCAAGATGAGAGGCCACATGAAAATCTAATATCTCATATCTGTCTAAAATATGACTCATTATTTAGACACATCAGTTCAACAAGTATTTGCCGATACCAATTATGTACACATTTGTTATGGACTCGATTCCAGGTAGAATTAAATCCAATATAGGAATAGTAATTATTATTATAACAGCATCTCACATTACCCAGCGGCTTCTAATTTGCCAAAGAGAAAGTGTACTTTGAGTCTTGAGGTTCTATGGCTCTAGGAAACCAAGACAAATCCTCATAGAATGTTAGAGAAAGAAGAATGTATTCTAAAAGAACAAACAGAACCCTTATTCCTAGGAAACGCAAGAGGTCATAACCAGGTAGTAACAAGGAATAAGGAACAAGCATTTTTTTTTGCCATGTCTATCAGTTGCTTCACTTTATCTTAACAAAAGCAAAACCAAAAACTATTTTTTTTCTAATTATAAGAGTAATTATTATAGAAACCTTAGAAATTTTAAAGAAGTGTTAATTAAGGAGAAACTACCATGTATCCAATATAATAGCCTGCTCTTCTTTACCTAATATTTTAGTATATTTTCCAAAATATTCTTGTTATTTTAATTGCTGTGTCTAATTCCATCTTTTTGGTGTACAACAATTTACATATCTTAAATTGTTTACATTGTTGACAGTTTTTATTATTCTAAGGAACACTATAATAAATAGCTGTGTTTGTAGAAAAACGTTGTACTTTGGACGTATGGTTTCCAACTGTAATATTTAAGGTTTAGTAAGACAATTTTAGTAAATCATATAGTTTTGACCTTTAGCTTGTTTAATTCTGCCAGTATTGCTTTGTATTTACTTAGATTTTATGTTTCTAAACATTAGGAGGAACAGTTTGCCTGAATCCTTCAATATGATATATTTGAATTGGAAATAGTATCAATGTTTTCATATTATTTCAAGTAGACATGATAAATTGGTTAATTTTTTTTCACCTTCTATGGGCAATAGCTTCTAGTACAGGATTTTTTGTTTAGAAAGTACTCAATAAATGTTCAATACATTGCAAGATTCAGGCTAATTTAGGATAAGCAAAAACATTTGAGAAGAATTTAAGAAAAAAAAAAAACACTTCTCCATTCATGGTAATAGCTTTCATTTTCATGAGGAGAGATGACAGCCAAGCACAGTTCAGGAATTCTGATGGTTAAATGAGAATTATGAAATGAAGTATGTTGTTGCTTTAATTCACCGGCATAAGAAACCATGACTCTAATAGTTATTTGATTAAATGTTAATGAGATCTACTAAATTGACCCAACTCTTACTTTTATGTATTAGATTTATGTCAGTTAAAACAAGACGAGTTTTACCTCTTTCCTTCTTTAACATCTTTAAGTCAGCATCTGCTTACAAGGGAAGTGTTGTTACTACCCTGGTTATTTAAATATTAATAACTTCCATTATAGGCAGCTGGAGGTTTGCAGCAGGAAGATGGAGAAATTAGATGGCCTGATTAGTTTCTTTCTGCCACCAGGAAAAAACAAAACCTCTTACTGGAAGAGCTTCTTCCAGTATTTTTTTAATTCCACAGATTTTTTTTTTTCCTGAACCAGTTAGAGAGTAAGATTCTTGATTTTAAGGATTCCTTGAAAGTAGTTATGTTATTAAAACATGAGTGTAACAAGTTCATATAATTAAAAAAAAATGTTTTATCAGCTCCATAGTGGTCACTACTCTTGGGCTTCTTGGGACTAATTTCAGGTTTTAAATTCATTTTGTTCCTTATTATAGTCACTAATAGGCAAAGCCATTTTTTAGCTACGGATTGTATTTGGTTGGGCTTGTTTACATGAAGTATGGGGAATTCTATTAACCATGAAAGACTTGACAAGCATTGTATATTTGATCAAATTATAAATGTTTATCTTATTGGGGAAATGTGTCTAAAATTTGTTACAACCAGTATTTTCATGTTATGCCAGCTTGGGTTATGATAAGCACGTGGTAATAGATTTTTACACATTTTGTGGTTTTAAGATGTTTTAATGGCATGGTATTTTAAAGTACTGTTTTAAACAGTCCAAAGCAGGCATTATATTTGCATAATTGTATATTTCTTTTTACATCCAGAAACCTGAGTAAAGTATTTATTCATGTCAAGTACTTTACTTAGACTTTAGAGCTAAGAATTTAGATCATGCTTAAGTAGTAGTAGTGCAGAGTAATAATAACACTGATGTCGGATCATAATACTTAGCATTAAGGATTAAGGTGAGTCAAGTGAGGCCCTTGCCCAGGGTAAAATTTAAGAGAGTGCCGAAAAACTCAATAATCATGATACATAGTATTTTAATGCAATGTTTGGGAAAAAAATCAAAATTAATGCCAAAAAAAATCCATGATGAACAAAACATCAAAATTTTAGAAAAAGTTGCCAGCCAGCCCTGCCTGTGCCCCTGGCTCACCTTAACCTGGTCTTGGCCTTGACTGGGTTCCGCATGTCCTTGGATGAGACATTCCTTTGAGTCAAATTTTCCTTATCTAAAATTGGTGATAATTATCTTTGATTTCCTGGTCGGGTTATTAAGATATTCAAATCAGCTGAAAACACATGGGAAAGCCCATTGTAAATACAAATTATATGTTTATATACAAGTTTAGGGAAATCATCATAATTTTAAGCCATTATTATTATCAGCTGAGATGAATACTCTAAGCAAACATCAGATTCGAAGGCCCTTAAAAAGCTGTGTTCATAAAGTTTGCGGCGTAGCTCTTGAGTTTATTTATCAGCTAGCTATAGGGGCAGGGACCTATAGATAGTTGTAGGACCTTCCTTTTCTTCCTTCTTTCTTTTTTGTTCTTGGATGCAAAATTTATGATTTGTAAGAGACAGAAGAGGTAAGTGGAAATCCATTTTGTTTATTTTAAATTTCTCTGCGAAGTGCCATGGACAAGTTTCACTTTTGCTCAAGCTATTCTACCCATCAGTGATGCCTTTCCCCTTTCTCCTGCCCATCTGGGCTCCACCTACCTTTTACTCACATCCATGACCTTGGTAAGGCCTTCCTGGGTTCTCTCAGGCTGAGATGTGTTCTCATTCCTCTCCCCTCCTGGTAGATAAATGTCTCTACCACTTATCTGGTGATCAGTTACAGAGTCCTGTTGTCTTGAGGTTTTATCTAATCCTGCATTGAATTTACTTTTCAGACCACAGTTTTAGAAATATAAATTGTTTTTCTAGTTAGATTATAAATCCTTCAATAGCGCCTCCTTCTCCCTTAGACTCATCACTTCGGGGTCAGCAGGGATTGGGTCTGTTTTATTCAGGTGGTATCCAAGGTGCTTATTAGCAAAGGGCTTTGACATACAATATACTTTTTTTTTTTTTACAGTATACCTATTTTTTCAATGAAATAAATGAATGTCTTGTATGTAAAAAGGCTGGGTAAATATTTATTCTTCAGATTCATTAGTTGTTTTCATTCTAGGACTGGAGAGAATGGTTGGTACCATGTGGAAGGCGACTGTTTTGGTGGCTGTATTCGTGTTCAGCCCTGGTGGTGATGGGCTCTTTCACTCCTTATACAAAAAAGCTCGGGTTTCTGTACCACATAAGGGAGACGTAGGAGAGCCATTATTTCTTACTCCCTACATTGAAGCTGGGAAATTCGAAGAAGGTAAGTTTCATAAAATCAGAAAACCACTGGTATATTTTCAACAGGTTGTTTTTTTTTTAAAGCAGTTATCTTAACAGGATTCAAAATACATTCTGGTATTTTTACTCAGTTGTTTTATTTCAAATATTAATGGTTTGATGTCCTGTGTTATCAGAGTTTTGAGCTAAAATGAGAGCTTGCCAGGGACAGATTATCTAGAGGTGGAGCCCCCGCACTTCTATTTATAAAACTAGCATAGTGCCTGTCCACAACAGGGCACTTAATAAAGAGAATACTAACCTTAGAACTTCATACATGTCAGTTACTGGTTCCAAGGATTCTACATAAACTTATGTAAGCATCTCCACAACCCAGGGAGATGTACCTACTTGACACACAAGAACACTAAAGGAGAAAAAGATTCAGTTACTTGTCAGAGTCACATGGACACCAGCTGGTAGATGCAGGATTCACACCCAGACAGCCTCACTCCTTAGTCTATGACCACAGGCACAGTGTTGGGCCCTTTTGCCTGGCAAGTTACCCAAACCTAGGCCTCAGTTTCTTTATTAACAAGATGGGGATATAATCACTTAGTCAAGTTGCAGAGATGTTAAGAATCAGATGAGAAAATGCACATGAAGACTCTTGGTAACCTGTAAATTGCTCCCTAAATATTAGTGTCTGCAAGTGGGGCTTTTTATTTAGACATTGTGGGATTTTCTATTATTATTAATAGGAAAAAGGTATTATTTAGTATCATCAGAGACTAAAATTTACATGTCTCTGCTCTTAATGCTTCTTTATGTTTATGTAAATCACTGTGTAGATAAGTTACTTAATCCTTCCGGACATCAGTAGGCTCCTGAACTATAAAATAGTATCTAGGCAGCTACTCTGAGGTGCTGTTTGTAAAAGGAATTAGAGAAATGGGGTGGTGCTGTGGCATCAGGAAGGGTCTTTAAGAGGGTAAGAGACCGTGTGTTTGCTGATAGAAATGATCCAGCAGAGGGGGGAGTTGATTGGGGTGGGACAACTATTTCAGGAGTACTTGTTTTTCCTTTTTTTAAGATTTTATTTATTTATTTATTTATTTATCTGAGAGAGAGAGCGAGCAGGTGGAGGTGCAGAGGGAGAAGCAGAGGGAGAGGGACAAGCAGACTGTGCTGAGTGCAGAGCCCAACATGGGGCTCAATTCCATGACCCTGAGATCATGCGTGACCTGAGCTGAAATCAAGAGTCAGACACTTAACCGACTGAATCACCCAGGTGCCCCAGGAGTGCTTTCTTTAAGTAGATGATGGACATGGTGGCTGGCACATAGATGGGGACGCTTGCTTTGAAGGACTGCAGTTTATCTCTAATCACAGGTGGGAAAACCGAGTTAATGGCTGTGAGGCTGGTAAGTTGGTTGATAGCATGAGAATGTGTGGAAGTGATACTGGATATTTTAGGGAAATAATCATTTTAAAGATCAAAAATAAGTGTATGGACTCCATAAAGAAGTTTTAAAATAAAGCAACTTCTCTTCAATTGAAATATTCCCATAGCTAATAGGATATCATCATTTTGTTTTTTGTTTTGTTTTCTTTAAAACCAACACATTCTTATATCTTAAGGGTGCATTTGAGTCCTGGTCACATGTCTTTTTCTGACCTACATATTGACTCCATGTCTCACTATCTCTTTTCTAAGAAAAGGTGAAAAACTTTGATAATGTAGTCAGTGTACATTAGTGTACATTTGATGATGTAGCTAGAGAATGTAGTCAGTCCTTTTCTAAAAAAGATTCATTTTTACTTAATGTGGAAAATGGTACAGGCTCATATCACTAGACAAATATGAAGAGGCAGCATATCATCCAAATCCACCAAAATGAATCACATGCATTCATTTTGGCTTCTTTAATAAGTGGGTACTGATGACGTAGATTTTGTTCATTAACAATAAATCAAAGCAAATCATTTAGTTTAGAGATGAAAAGGAGTTCAATACTCACAACCAACCCTACCAATCCATAGATGAGGAATTTGAGACTCCAGTATCTTACATGACTTGCCCAAGGAAATGCAGATAAGAGTACCAGAGATGCGTTTAGGACTCAAATTTTCTTTTCTTTTTTTTTAAAGTATTTATTTATTTGACAGAGAGAGACACAGTGGGACAGGGAACACAAGCAGGGGGAGTGGGAGAGGGAGAAGCAGGCCTCCCACCAAGCAAGAAGCCCAATGCGGGGCTCAATCCCAGGACCCCGGGACCACGACCCGAGCTGAAGGCAGACGTCCATCAACTGAGCCACCCAGGCACCCCATAGGACTCAAATTTTCTGACTTCTTCTCTGTGATATGTCTGCTATAATTTATTTCCCTTTGTTTAAGACTCTTGTGCTCTTCTTTTTTTTTAAGATTTTATTTATTTATTTGAGAGAGAGAGAGAGCACACGAGGGGTGGGGAGGGGCAGAGGGAGAGAGAGCTAAGCAGGGACCCAGATGTGGGACTTGATCCCAGGACCCCAGGATCATGACCTGAACCCAAGGCAGACACTTAACTGACTGAGCCACCCAGGCGCCCCAAGACTCTTGTGCCCTTCTGATGTGACCAGATGCACACACGTGAAACAATTAAGGAATAAGGCAGTGAGTACTAAAACATTAAAATATTACATTTGAGGTAGGCATGCTGGAAATTTTGAGAAGAAAGCTATCCTATTGGTTGGTCCAGAAAACAATAATAGTGTAGTAGTCAAAATAGCAAATGGTTAATACTTAATAATTATATGCCCAGGACCAAGCATAGTTTCTTTTTTTTTAAAAGATTTTATCCATCCATTTGACAGAAAGAGAAAGAGCACAAGCAGGGGGAGCGGCAGGCAGAGGGAGAGGGAGAAACAGGCTCCCCACTGAGCAGGGAGCCCAATTTGGAGCTTGAGCCCAACTTGGGGCTCGATCCCAGGACCCTGGGATCATGACCTGAATGAAGGCAGATGCTTAACCGACTGGGGCCATCCAGGCGCCCCCCTAGCATAATTTCTATATGTAATAGGTACTCAACAAATATTTGTACAATTTAAGTTTTAAGCCCAAATATGTGCCAGACATGGGTGTTACCCACACCTTAGCTTATTTAATCCTTAGAGCAACCCTAGTGAAGAAGGCATACATATTGTTCCCATTTTACAGATGAGAAAACTGAGGCCCAGAAAAATTAAGTATCTTGGTCAGGGCCATTTACAGGTAATAAGTGACAGAGGTGGAATTAAAACCTATCTCTGCTGACTCTAGAACCTGAGGTATGAGCCACGGCGCTGTGTGACTAGATTCAGACTGGAAGGCTCTAGGTGAGATTTGGGCAGATAAAGAAGGACATGTGTATACTGAGGAAAGCAGTTTCAACAGAGGCATTTGGTGAAAATGACCATGGTGGTATGTCTGTATCATACATCTGGAAGAACCAAGTGAAAAGAATATAGAGAAGCCTATCCGAGAAACTGTCCACATCCCTCCCATTCCTGTATTTGTTGCCTACAAGCATTTCACCACTGTGGTCATCAGGAGTAGCCGAGAAAGCTTCTGGGGGAGGTAGTTTTCATCCTTGGTCCTTCTGTGCCAAGTCTGATGGATCACCATCTGATGAGCGACAACATCCAAAATAGTAAATCTGATGTAAAGTCACTTTCTAAAGTTCTATTACACAGTCAAAATTTTTGAATGGAATTTTAAGTGGCTGATCCAAAATCTGGTACATCTGGGTATTCAAATGCAGCCCTGATAACATAATTAAGGATAATTTTATTCATCCGCTTTACTGAAAGTTCAGGAAACTCTGGACAGATGGTCAGTTCATTCTCCTAAGTTCCTTTTGTTTATTGAGTCTGTCAAAACCTTAGGAACGTGAGTCTTAGTATCACAGTGGAACATTCTTGAGATAAATAGTAATTCACGAAAAGACAAGGGAATTTTTTATTTTTTAATCTCCCAATTAGCTGGTTTAGTTTTGTGTAATTGTAATTGTATGTTTACTTTCTCTGCAGCTAGAATAAATTCTTAAAACAAAATGAATAAAGGAGGCAAATTTAAAAATATTTACAGGCACTGCCTTTTCACAAACTTTAAAGAATATTTTGATATTAGGTCTTTATTATTACTTATGGTCTGGCAGTGTCTTGTCTTGTACTGGAGTCTTTGTGAATGTGATGTGCATCCTGATTAGCTGGTTCGAGTCCTTCTTTGGTCACACTCCAATCTTTTTCAAAGTGTTAATATCACAAACACTGGTGACCGCAGTAAATAATATGGAGGAAGTGAAATCACTTCAAAGAAAACCTTTTCCTTTTTTTAACTGTTTTGAACATTTGTATTGTGAGTCATGGTTCCAGGAAGTAAGAAACTCCTACATCTTGGGAGTTTATTTTCCACATTCCATTAGTGGGTTCTGGAAGGATGAACCAAATATCTGAAAATATGAAATATCATTTTAGTTGAAAGAACTTTTAATTATTTTACTATGATTTCATTAAAGGAAATTTAAAAATTGAAATGGGGTGAAACACTTTTGTGAGCCAGGGAAAAATTCTAAATTCTTAAGATCTCAATAAGGCCTGCTTTCCCTAGGAGGTTTTTGTAGAAATATGCTAATCCTAGTACATTGTCAATGTGATGGGTTTTAGTTTATTAATTCATTCATCCATTCGCTAACATTTCATTAAAAGGTGTGTGTTGAATGTCTTTAAGTTCTTAAATCAGCATCCCCATGGGTACAAAGATAAATAAGACAATTTCCTAGCTTTCCAGTAGCCCCTGATCTAGAAGGAAAGCAGGAAATGTACCTGAGTAAGTAAAAGGTAGCAGACAAATATCTTTGGAACCCTCAGTAAAGGAGGGCTGGGGGAGCATCTGAGTCATTTCAGAGCAGGCCAGTGGACCTCGTGCTGGGCTGGCCTCAGAGAGATAGATTGATTCAATCATCTCTCTCCCGTCTTCCATTCCCTTCAGCTCCTTTCTATTATATATTTCCTTTTTCTCATTCTACTTCAACCTTTCTCATTTTTCTCTGTCTTCTTTCTCAAATCCTCTCTTGCTCACTTAACTCTCTGTGATTCACATCTCACTTATTCCCAACCCCTCCATCTTCAGTTCTCTCTCCTCTTTTGGGGGGTTCTCTGATTTGGAGAAGATTAATAGTTTGGAGGAAAATATGTCAAAAGTGTTTTAGGTACAAAATTCCAGTTAGAAAAGAAATTAAGTCCTGGGGATATGATAACGTACAGCAGAGTGACTATAGTTAACAATACTGTATTGCATATTTGAAAGTTGCTAAGAGAATAGATCTTAAAAGTTCTCATTATAAGAAAAAAAATTGGAACTAGGTATGGTGATGGGTGTTCACTAGACATTGTGGTGACCACTTCACAATATATACAAATATCGAATGGTTAGGTTGTATATCTGAAACTAATGTAATGTTACATATCCATTATATCTCAATTTTTAAATGGCGAAAGAAAGAAAGAAAGAAAAAGAAGAAAAAAAACTTTTGAAAGATTGCCCAGCCCCGGAGGATAATCCTTCTTTGGTCTAATTGAGAGCAGAAGCAAAGAAGGGTGGAGGAAAGCAAGGCTGCAGGGGGGAAGGGAGTAGGCTGGGAGGAGGGCTGACACATACCACGTTCCCCAAACACTTCTCTTTTCCTTTTCTTAAAATGCTCCTCTCCCTTTCTTTTTTCTTTGCCTTTTTCTGGCAAGAAGGCTAGGTCTCTTTGGGAAGAGCATGGGAAGAGCTAGAGAAGCTGGATTGAGTTATGCAATCTTCCCTAGGGGAACTGGACTAAGCCAGAAAAAAGCAAAGTCTTCCAGACTGCAGGTGGGGTTGCCCATGGGCTGGTGATAATCTTCTCTTCCCTTGCCGGCGCCCTCTTTCTTTTTTTTTAAAGATTTTATTTATTTATTTGAGAAAGAGAATGAGAGGCAGAGAGCACGAGAGGGAAGAGGGTCAGAGGGAGAAGCAGACTCCCTGCTGAGCAGGGAGCCTGATGTGGGACTCGATCCCAGGACTCCAGGATCATGACCTGAGCTGAAGGCAGTCGCTTAACCAACTGAGCCACCCAGGCGCCCCGGCGCCCTCATTTTACGTGCAGCTTTCTTCATTTGATCCTCGCAGAAAGCCCAGGGTGGAGGTGTGGGGGGGAAATCAATGTCCACATTTTGCACAAGAGGAAAGAGAGACTCAGAGATAAAGCAACTTGTCAGGGAGCCTGGTCCGAATTGCAAACCAAGGTCTGCCTGATTCAGAAACCCATGTTCTTCCTGTTCTGCTAGCTTAGCAGGACCCTCTGGAAACTGCCATTGAAACCCTGCCTTTGTCCCACCATCTCCTCTGCTCCCAGGTTCTCCTTGTTCCTAATGAGCAGGTGCATTTCACAGGTAACAATAGCTGTGCTCCCTATGAGCCAGCTTCTTTTCTAACGGTTGTGCATGTATGGACTCTTATTCTCATTGACCCATGAGGTCGTCCACCTTCCAAGATGAGAAACTGAAGCACAGACAGGTGAAGTGATGCCCAAAGGACCACAGGGCCGGTCAGTAGCAACACGAAGATCCGCAAAACACGAAGGAAAGGAAACAGTACTGTGTAGGTGAGAGTTTCCCTTCGAGGAGGCAGCTTTGTTTTTTAAAAGAGGAACTTGCAGCCCCAATGCCATGGTGTGCTGTTAAGTTTCACAAGCAACTCTGGGGGGCAGGGCCCTGATTTGCAGCACCGACCCCTGAATATAAACATTCTTACCATGGTTCATTGCATGCTAGCAGTGATGTTGCTGAATGCCAAGTTGGGAAGGGATGCTAACAGTCAGCACTCCAGAGCCTATGAGCTCCAGCACCCCACTAAAGACATCTTTAGTTGGTGGCATGGGTGAAGGACGAAGCTTCCTGACCTATGCCTCTCTACTAACCAGTCTCCAACTTAATATGTGTCAGATATAAATAGCTTTTCTTGAATCATTAGATTTTACTGAGGACACTTGCTTTGTCACCACTAAGGAAACTTTCCTCACCCAGACTCCTCTTTCAGTTCCCCCTACACCCTGCCATCTATTTGTTGGTTCTTCTCCATTCTGTTCCTAATCACTGCTCCTCCTTCCACTCCCTGCCACCCATACTTTCTGACTAACTCTCTGGTTGAGAAGCAGCATAGCAGGGTGGAAGAAGGAGCAGACTCTGCAGCCTGACCGCTGGGTTTGCATCCCAGCTTTCCTTTACTAGCTGTGTGGGCAAGTTACTTGGGCAAGTTACTTACCTCTCTGAGCTTCAGTTCATCTGTAAAGTGGAGACAATAATTACACCTACTACATAACGTAAAGCCCTCAGTACTGTTGCCTTAGCTCCTCTAGGGGCACCTGAGTGGCTCAGTCAGTTGAGTGTCAGACTCTTGGTTTCTGCTCAGGTCCTGATCTCAGGGTCCTGAGATTGAGCCCTGCATCTGTGGGGCTCTGGGCTCATCACAGAGTCTGCTTGTCCCTCTCCCTCTGCTCTTCCCCTCACTCACACTCTCTCTCTCAGACAAATAAATAAAATCTTAAAAAAATAAAGTGTTTGCTCCTCTTGGTATTTTTTACTTCAGGGTGTCCTCAAGCTATCTGAGCAGTCCCTCTTTCCCCCTCCCTGTCCCTCTCCCTTTGGTGCCATAAAAAAGCCACAACCTCTGCCCTCTACAGCTATCCTGTTGTCCTATTTGGCTTCCTCTGAGTAGCCATGAGGTCACCCCTAGTCTCACTGGCTGCCCCACCCTGCCCTCCCCAGCCTTCCCACTGCCCACATGCGTCAGCCCATTTCCCTTAATGGAAGTGGCAGGCCTTTTGCTTTCATGATAACAAGAGTGTGGAGAATATAGGCCTTCCGGAGGCTGAGAGCTGCTTAGCTATGTTGTTTCTCTTGCAGCTGCTTCATGTTGGGTGACTTCTGCCTTGGGCTTCCCAGTGGCCCAAATGTGAATACCATGGTTTACTTTTTAGAGTGGAGCTGAGGATAGGTGATTAAAAAAAAAAAAAAAAATCTTATTATAGCTCATAAACTGTATTTGGGGACGAAAAAAAAAAGGTTAAAAATGTCACTTGTCCTTGGCTAAGTTGTGAATGTCGAATATGTGGAATGGACCAGGGCAGGCTGGAATTTGCTATAGTAAGTACCTTTGTGTCAGTCCCCTGGTAGCCTTTCTGATCACTCCATCCCAGCCCTGGCCCCTGGGGGGGAGAAGACGGGCCGAGATGAAGATGACTGACACTGTATTATTTCTCTAATCCTTGGGTAAATTTTTTCTTCCACTAGGAAAAAGAAAGAGTATGGTCCCTCCTTTCCCAGGATCGAATGTGGAGAGTTATGCTGGCTACCTCACCGTGAATGAGACCTACAACAGCAACCTTTTCTTCTGGTTCTTCCCGGCTCAGGTAGGCCTACGAGAGCGCCCTCAGAGGACACTAATCCTCAGGGGCTGAGGATGCTGCCCCAGGGCAGACATGTTAGCCTACAAACAACGTACTTTAAAAAAAAATTTTTTTTTGCATCTTTTAGATTTTTTTTCTAAAAATAAATGCCAGTGACTCTGTGTGGTGTTCCTGTTTATGTTCAGGAAACAAATGTTTGCAGGGAAGGTCCAACTTTTAAATTCCTTGCAGCCTTGTGCAGAACATTCACATTTCCACCTTCTTCCTGCCACAGTCTTCTTAAATCATTCTGTTGTTGTTTTGTTCTAAAAATACCTTGGGTGAGGATAGGCGTTAAGGAGCCAATGGATGATAAGGAATGGGGAGATTCCCAAAATGCACAGGTAATGCATGTCTAAGGTTAATTGATGGTGGATTTCCATGGCTGCTCAATCCATGGACTTTGCAGTACTAGTTCTTATTTTTGTACTCACCCCTTCATGCATCCAGTACCCACTGAGTAGTACTTTGGGGACACAGAAGGGAGAGAATTGAACATATTTTGGGAGCCTTTGCGGGGACAGGTAGAGGACTGCTGACCTAGTATGGCATCCTAGAAGACAGATCACTCACCTTCTCAGGCCTGTGTACACACACAGCTGGGTATGTTCTTGTACTTTATCAGTCTTACTTAGTGCATGGTGATGTCACACAATTCTTCAGCATGAACAAATCACTTTAGGCTAATGGGTACTGTTTGGGGTGGGGTGGGGCGTGTGGATATTGGTAGAGATGCTGAGATGCATAAATAAATTTTATCCCACCACAGGATAATTTTCTGTTTTTATTTTCCAAATTGGATTTGGTTTAGAAACCAGAGAAAACAAAGAAAAAGCTATCCCTAGGGAGGGTAGTAGTTATATTTGCATGTGATTTGCATATAGCAGTGTTGCATATATAAAATTGTTTACTCTAGGGTAGTTTTCAAATTAAGTTGCTTTTGTTGGCATGACTGGGTCGTATTTTCTTGACTTCCTCGTTTTTGCTTTCTCAACCATGGCCTCTGCCGTAGTTGACCGCGTAGTTGTGGATGGGAGGAAGCATGTAAAAACTGGTGAGGAATTCCAGATGCTTTTTGGTTGGGCTCATAGTAGTCTTCAGGCTGTCACCTACTCTGATCTGCGGTCCTTCTGGAGGCTCTCAGGGAGGATCTGTTTCCTTGCCTTTTGCATTTTCTAGAGGCTGCTCACATTCGTTGCCTCATGGCTCCTTCCCCCGTCTTCGCAGTCTGCATCAGTAGGCGGACTGAATCCTTCTCACATTGCGTCACTCTGGCCGACTGCGCGGTCACATCCTTCTCTGACTCTTGTCTTCTGCTACCCTCTTTTACATTTAAGGACCCTTGTGACTACATTGGGCCCACTGGATAACCCAGGGTAATCTCCGTAATGTAAGGTCGGTTGACTAATAACCCAAATTCCATCAGCTTCCTCAATGTCCAGTTACCATGTGACTTAACCTATTCACGGAATCTGAGGATTTGGATGTGGACACCTTGTGGGGGGCTTTATTCTGTGCCAAATGGATACTTGTGTCTAAATTTGCGATTCTTAGTATGTTCTCTCTCAGTGATTCTCACAGTTTATTGTATTTAAGAATTATCTCCAAATTTCCCCAGAAACTGACTTGTAAATTGGGAGAGGCCAGCAAGTGATAGAATTACCAAGTGAGCCACACCTGAGAAGCCATGGTTCCAGCCTATAGGCCACCATCCTGTTTTTAGTGCTTCTGGACCCAAAGTGATCCACACCCCTTTATCCAGAAAGAAACACCTCTGGCAGCTAAACTGGTGCAAATGGGGGTGGTGTATTGTCTCATGCTCCCACCTGGGCGAGGGCTGGAATGTAGGCCTGAAGCGGGGAGTGTAGTCTGTGGGGTCAGTCTTCCTCATCCTGCTCAGTGTTCCTCTAAGGCCTGCTGGGGCTCCATCTCCCCTGAGCTCTCTGTCTCCCTTAGCCCCGAGAAATCCCACTTCCTACTTTCTCTTCTGCTTCGGTGACCATTTCTGATACCAGGAAGTTCCCCATTGACTTCTGCATGTTGAATCTCCAATAGTAATAACCCAGATTTGTGAAAACAGGAATTAATGGTAAGGGAAGTGGTCAAATGAAAACAAAACAAAGACTCAGTCCTTTCTTTTCTTCAGTTGCCTCTGAGCAGGGGTACAGTTTCCTCTAGAACATAGGTGCTGTAGCAAGACTGGAAAGCCAGTCAGGGAAATGGGCTCAGATTCTGTACCCTCTCCTGGCTGCCAGACTGACATCTGAACTTTTGTGGCATTAAACAGTGACTGGGCTGTTGGGGTCCCCCCCTTAATTAAATGAAGACCTATGTCTGCATCCCCTGGCCAGATTATGCTCTTTGGGGCCCAGGACTATAGCCCGAAACACATTCTAAGATGATCCCAGAAGACAAACTCGAGGCTGCCACAACAGGAAAGAAGAAGCTCGAGCACAGCATGTTCTATTGGAAATGACAGGCTCAGCTTCAGGGGAGAAACAGACAGGATGAGAAGATGGTACCCCTGACAAGTGTCACCATGTGGCAGCCAGGATAGATGGTTCTGAGCCTTTCTTACCTGGGGAACCCACACACAGAGCTGGCATCTGAGACCCCAGAGCAACAATTCCTGCCAAGCCAGTCAGGCTGTAAATTATGAAACAGGCCAGTTTGGGTGAAGAAGAGAAAGCATGTGAGAAGGAAAAGCGGTGATTACCCAGATAGGGAAGAGTTCCTTTCATTTGGCAGAAAGATTAGTTCATTGCCTGTCACAGGGAAGCAGCTGATATTATCATCAGGAGAGAAATGGCCCTTTACAAAAATTGAAGATAGAGAAAATAAGAGAGATCCAGGAAGGATGCACACTTGTAATACCCTCTGAGTATTTTGGGGGATGCTGTTTCTCAAATTAGTTTTGTCTTCCTGTTATTTCTGTGAGACTCCCCTGTTACTGTATACAAAGCAGTGCATAATGGATTCTAGAGCTGGAAACTGGTGTGCAGTGGGGATGCAATGTGCAAGAGAAATAATAGGCATTTTATTTCATGGGAGAAAAAGTATAATGAAGCCAATAAAAATGTCACAATTTTAATGAGTATTGTTAATTGAACATTGACTATGTGCTAAGCACTGTGCATTTTCTTATTCAATCCTTACAATAACCACATGAAGAAGGAATTATTATCCTTGTTTAATAGATGAAGAGGATTACAGAGATTAAATAATTAGCCCCAAATTGCCCAACTAGAAATTGGCAGAACTTGAATTTAAAACTAAATGATGGAGAAATCTTTGCTCCTGATCATTGTATGTTGATCCTGAGAAAACTGGCCATAGAACGTGCTAGACTACAGTCATTAACATGATAGCTCTTGAGTTAGTCTAGCTTGCATAAAACCTTGGCTTGTGTGTGCCAAAGGTGAGGATCAGGATACCTACTTGAGAGCAGTTTTGAGACAAATGAGAGAATGCGGGAAAGCCTTAGACGGGTGCCTGACACGTAGTAAGTGGAGTTTCTATTGCTATTATTTCATTATCATCATGTTTATCATTATTAGTTTTCCTGTTATTAATACAAATACTGTGCAGAACTAAACCAGTCGCAATGTGGGAGATTAAAGAAGACAGAAAACAGGAGGCAATTCCAAATCAGAAGTTGCTGAAAGCCAGCGAAGAGTATGGATTAATTGCTACTGGGGAAAGAAATTACAAAGTGAAACTGGGGTTTTCCATATTTAAGAAGATAAAAAGGCACACAGATTATTATTTTTTGCAATTAGAATTCTTCCCACTGGAAAAAGATATCCCGTATTTGACTTTGTCTTAGGGATATGGGAATAGAGATGATTTGTTGGATTGTTTGCCTCAAATATTATGGAATCCAAACCAGAGACATTTAGACTTAGGCCTGTGCCCCTCTACTAAGGGCCGCATCTTGCTCCTTGGGCCAAGGGGAGTGGCTGGGATTCCTGGAATCTGAGTATCTGGTGACTGAGGAAGATCAATATCATATTGAGGAGTCAGCAAGGCTGGGATAGGGTGAGGTAGCCAGACTCCAGGAGTGACCTTTGTTTCTTAATAGCCGTGCTCCTTTGTAGTCCCCTGCCATATTGAATCAAGGCTGGCCTTTGTGAGCAATGCACTAGAGAAGAAGTGATGGTGGGTGACTTCCAAGGCCACTGTCAAGGGCAGTGCCACTTCTGCCTTGGTCTCTTGGATCACTCACCCCTGAGGGAAGCCAGATGCCATTGGGAGGACACTAAAGCAACCGTGTGGGTAAACCTATGTGGAGAGAAAGTGAGTCCTCACCCACCAGTCAGCACCAGCGTTGGATGATGTTCATCCAGCCCAAGTCAGAGGACTGTAGTCCCGCCTGATATCTTAACTGGAATTTCCTGAGACACCCTGAGCCAGAACTGTCCAGCCAGACATCCCCGAATTCCTGGCCCACAGAAAGCACGGGAGAATAATTGATTACTGTTGTCTTAAGCCACTAAGTTTTGGATACATGTTATACAGCATTAGATAACTACTACAGCCTCTTCTCACGTACTTTTGGGCTGTGACTGTGATATCTTATGACCACTAGAACTAGCTCCAATTCTATCCTTTTACTTGCTCCAAGGTACCAGAGCTGTAGACATTTTTTCCTGTGTAGCAAGCATGATATTAAGCTTTGTCAGTAGAGGGTGCTGGAGGGACATTGCAGGAGGACATCGGCTTCTCTTCCTGTTCCCTTGTCCAGTCTGTCAGCAGTGCGTGTGTGGGGGACATCCAGTAGTGCCCTGTTCTTGCTGGGCTCCCAGACCACAAAGACCCTCAGCAAGCTTACAGTCCTGGCTCTGTCCCAGTGACCACCTGGCTGCAGCTCCCTCAACATGGGCACCATCCATCCCAGGACATCCCATACTTTCCAGTGAGCCGGTTCCCTAAGCCACCTCTCTGCAGCCCTCCCACCTGCCTTG